ACAAGCCGAGGGAACAGTAGTAGTGTTTAATGTACTGTTAAATTGTTAAAAATTCCAAGAAGATAAAAGTACCTACATAAAAACATCTCCAGGAAATTCAAAGTATGTGAAATGTAATAATAATATAAAAACACCGACAAACTGCATATATGTTTGTATCTTCCAAACGAAATTTGTATATCAGCGTTAAAACTTCTCGAGTGTCAAATCGACACAAGTACGACCCTGTACGCGTCTCCGGACCGAATTCGACACAGCTCGGACTCACCCGAACTTGGAAAGTAATTTTTAAAAGGTAGATTGTTAGATTGTCGCTGCGGTGTGGTGATGTCGCAAAGCCATTAGCTTCATTGTATGGCATGTATGCTATGTAATTAACTTTTTTAATTAGGATATATATTTTTTTATTACTTTCCTGCGGTGTTCGTGCTAACGCCGAGAAATTCATTTCTTATTTTAACGCGATACGGACTAGGACAACACGACGTTGTCGTTAGTAGGAACATAATAATAACGGGTCTACTATCTAGCTGCTAGACGTAACCCACATACATTTTTTTAGGTAATTGAGAATGTGTTTGCTGTTTTGACTAAAGTTTGTAGAACATGAAAGGTGGAAAGTTTTTATATACAGCGTGTCCCCGGATAGGTGAAGCGACTCTTGCAGGAGCCAAAAAATGTTGATGTGGAAGTCTGCTATTATTTCAAATGCCTAAATTTCAGTAGGCCCTGGAAATGTAGAAAAAACGGATTTTACTCACCAGTAAAACGTATTTCTCTATGAGAAACCACAAAATGTTATTGAGAAAAGTGTCTCGGAATGAAAAGCTGAGTATTAGTGAAAATTTCAATGTCCTAGGCATTCTTACTTTGCTTGATTTTAGATTTTTTCTAAAAGTAGACACCACACGAAAAGACAATTTTGCACATATATTTTTCATTATGATAATCTTTTCTTAAAAATAATTTGTCGTATCTCATAAAATAAGGGCACTTTACTAATAAAAAAAAGATAATCCTACCAAGAGAATCGTTTTCGGAGAATTGTCTCGAAATTGCAATATTTTTCATTTATATTTACGATTTGGGCCAGGAGATTTATATGAATACATACAAGAAACTTCCGAAAAATTACAATTACTTTACGAGGCATCAAATATATAGTTTTTCCGAAGTCAATTGAAGAACCTATAATGTCAAGGTATGTACCAGGCTCGGTCGCTAAGCAGCAACTCGGCATTGAAATATTTGAAAAACTTGTTCCCATATTTATTTAGCCATACCCATACATAGGTATGGTCGAACTAAACGTGCAGCTGGTAGAAATGTATACGACCAGTTGAAGAATGCGAGCGAGGCCAAAGGAAAACGAGCACAGTTGTATTGGGCTTCTGTGCAATAAATCACAGCAGGCGACAAGTGGTTCATGAATTGCCCAGCAGTGCAGTGCAGTAGTGCGGAATTTGGTGCGAATCAGGCAATTTTAATTTATTATAGGCACCTTCTATTATTCATTCATATTACAATTATTGCGAAAGGGAGAAATAAGAGGGATATTTTGTTTACTAATATTATCACAACATGGCATTTTGGAGACCTTTTAAAACGGAACAAACCAAAATTTACCACCAATATAATAAAATTGTTTGAGGACATAAACAATTAAAATATGCTGTCGACAGATAATTTTACCAAAGAAGAATAATTACAGAATAGAACAACTCGTCTCGAAATTACAGATTTTTTCTCAATTAAATTTAGGCTTCTTTGGGCTTCTCACAATTTCAAAATATCCCAAAAACCATTAAATATTATTGTGCCGATACCTCAAAGGCTTCAAAATGCATACTTGACATTTCAATTGATTTTAGATTTTTCGCAAAGTAGGTATGCATAGGACATTAATATTTTCCAAACAGTCTATTTTTCATTTGGAGAAACTTTTCTTAATAATGGTTGTGAGAAGTTATCTTTTTGGAAGGTTTCAAAAAATGGAAACTTTCTCGGAAAGAAAGTTTACTCGTGAAGAAAAGTTTGGTTGCATCAAGCGGTCTTTGCTCAAAGCTAAGCTTATGTAAAAAACTATAAAAATACCTGAACTACAACTACCATTGTGGAAGAAACTATATCCTTTCAAATTCACACCACATTTTGTCGCAATAACAGTCACAACTCCTCAGGAATTCCGTGATGAGACACCATTAGTATTACCCTATCTCTAGATAAAAATATCCTAATATTTCTATTTTAATCCTCTCGACAATCTCTTAATCTACTTATTTATATAAAGCGGTGATACCGACACATCACACTACAGAGCTTTACAATAATTTATTTTATGAGATCATTAGCTCCCTTACATAATAGATAAAGGATAACGAGGATGAAAACAAAAGTATTGCGTCTAGTTTTGGACATTAATGTCTCTTATAAATGTAACAGTTTTTATGAATGGTTCCCGGTGAGTAAATATGTCTTTAAAAAGTTATAAATCAAATTAATTTTATAATAATTGAAATTCAATATAAAATGTTACAATATAAAGTCCGTAAATAGCAAAATTACTATTTTTGTTTCTCGTGTTTAATTGGAATTTCTCCAAGTAATTGATGATGACGTACTGATTTGACAGAGTCAGACTGGGGGATAACCTCTCTGTGATAGAGGCAGAAGATTTCAATCAAAGGCAGAAGCATAAAAAAGTAGCAATTTATTAAATAGGATTCTGCAATTCTATAGTTGTCTTACTGTGTGGTATAGATGGCAGTGCGGTTTAAGTGAAAACTGCCATACATACATTATATTAAAAATTATAGAATCTATTGTGCTTTTGTCTTTACATTTGCTATACGAATATAGTAGGTACTAATAAATGGCATCTACGTTATACTATAGTTTGCATGAAATCATTAAAATTGAAAAAAATTACGAAATAATTGTTCCATATTTTAATCAAATCTTTTGATACCTATATAAATCTTTAATATAGAAACGATCTATTATGCGTCCAAATAACTGCTTAGCCAACACGCTTGCCAATCGATACGATTAAACGAGTTTAAGGATTGGTCGGGTAAAACAATATGCAATATCAATAAAGGCGGCCGTTTGCGGAACAAAACACAATCGCATGAATAATACAATGTGATAAGACCCTGTACGTGCCACATTTAATAATAAACGGCGATATATAAAACCGTGTAATTTACAATAAATCGTAACGGCGATACCAATTATTTACCAAACCGGAATGCGGTCTCCGTTATAAATGGGGTTAACTCCACAAACTTTAAAATAAACGGCACGTGCGCGGTATTTGTTTTAATACGCTTGAAAAACAATTATTCGTGCAAACAGGATTCAAATACCAGCGTGGGACCCATATTGTTTTCAGGGGATGATTTCTAGACCCACATTAGAGAACTTTTGTGACGAAACAATTTCGAGAGATTTCGTAAAAATGTTCGTAATACAGTTGTGCTTAATGATACCTACTTGAGTACAATCCTGGCTCTACTAAACATAAACACGCCTAAGAAATCACAATTAAGAGTTTTTCACCTTTTTATCAGTTCCTTTTTTTGAGAAAATATAGACTTTACGTAACGGTTTTTGTTCGGTTTGAGAAATGGAACAAATAAAGCAAATCGGACAGGCAAATTCCGCAAAAAAATTATTTGCGTTCCGTGAGTTTCTCTAAACCTAAACCATACATCAGTCAACTGTAACGAGTTCGTTGCTTTGCCTCTACGTATAGGCAACCAACAATTCAGCTACTGTCCGAACTAAAGAACCTCCGCTCCGTGCTTGTACCGCAAAACCCTCGACGTAATCCAACGACATAACTCCTTTCGTGTATTTTTTACCGCAAAAGCCGAACCAAGATTGCGTTTTATTACACGCACCTGCGTGAGAGCTCTTTTCCCCGCCGTGAAATTGATATGCTTCCGGTTTTCCCATCGGGAGGATTCAATATGGGTTTTATTATATTTTATGGCTATTTCCAGCACGAAGTGGAAGATAAACACGTGGAAATAGCTGGAGATTGAGTTCCTTGGAGATCAAGCGAATACGAAAAACATCATGATTATATTCCACAGAACTAGTGTTAAGATACAGATGTAGAAAGTCATTTTTTATTAAACGAGCGGCTTGGTCGAAGAACAGGAGAGAAGTGAGTATTTTAAAATCCGCGAGAATGTAGCAAAAAGACATTTTTTCCACGTGTGTCAAAAAAAGCAAGGATTAATAAATTATGAACTCAGGTCAGCATCACAGCTTTATCAGTTGTAAATTTGTGCAACAAATCGGCACTCGACACTTATTTCGAGTGCACGTGATCATAGGGAAAGTTAAATAACGAACAATACCTTCTTCTACTAAAAAAATATAAACAATAATGTAATTCAGTATATACATACTTGTATATGTATAAAAACGTTTAAAGTAAATATTAATAAACATAAAGTAATAAGTATTAAACAGCGCACAACACACGTATAAAAAAAACTGGCGAAAACCAGAAGACTCAATTTATGTTTGATTTTGGAAGTAGATTATTTAATTATGCAAATATTACATCAGTAGATGTCGAACGGCCCTTCTCTGCAGATTAAGATATTTTATCCCCGCCGCGAATAAGTTTCGCTGAAACAAGGGTTGATACATACGTGATGATGCGATCTATAACGGATCCCATCCATTGGAACCGATGGCAACGATGCGTAAAACAATTTACGTGTTTCACAATGATCCAATGACATAAATCTTATAAATCATTGTTCACTTTAATTCATGTTGATGATCCGCATGACTTTGGTGCGCGGCTAATTGTACTACTAATGACATTTTCCAAATTAAGACGTTTTTTGTTTGTGTTTATTCTGAAATACAATAACTAGCGCTTTCTTAAATATACGCGAGAAAGGTGTAGCAAATGTAGCATATAACCTAATTCATTTTTATAAAGATAAGAATTAAAAAGTTTTCAATTAACTCACCTGATCGCTGTCGTTGCCTTGCCAGTTGTCGTTACCCTGAAGCAAAAAAAAAAAATATTACAAAATTTAGATTTATAAAATCATCAATTGCCCTTTTAAAATATGGGGTTTCAGAACAGATTCTAGGGGAATTAAAAAAGATTATTGGCTATGAACTGTTAAAGTTTTGTTTTTCAATGAATTTTGCCAATATCTCCAAAATATGTTTGAAAACTAATTTAGGTCTATTTAGGCGTACCAAATTTGAATGCAAAATGTTGATTGTATTGGCAAAATTCATTAACTTTAACATCCTGTGTAATGGAACCAAAAAATGGTATACCTATAGCAGTTTATAACTAAAAATCTTATTTTTTAATATTTTATTGTCTAAAATATATGGTACGTTATTATGAAACATTCTACTATGTGTTCAAAAGGTTTTGGTGCTTTCTCACTTTTTAATTACATCACAAAATGACAATAGGTACTCAGCCCAGAATACAATCATTTTTAGTAGGTACCTATATTTTAGGCAAGTTGGTTATTAACATCTAGCTAGATGCTGTAGATATGTCTCTTTGTCTGTTCATCTGCTATAATTAGAAAAGAACAAAACATATCCAGATCATCTAGATTCTAGATGTTAATACCGAACTTACTTTTTATTCCGCATTTTTATGAGAAATTCCTTCAGTGCTGCAAGATTCATTCTACCAATATCTACATGGGAATTAAAAATAATGCATAAATTATGATCAGAAATTTCGGTTTATAAATTAAAAAAAGTTATTTTGGAATAAAATATTAATTTAGGTTGTACAGTTACCAAAATTTTGAAACATTATTTGGTATTTTAACTGAATAAATTAAGTGTTTTTCAAACGAAAAATTGTTTAATTTGTGACAAACCGCTCAATCTGCCATTAATGGTTTCCTCCCATCTCGTTATCGAAGAGAAGAAAATCGCCTACAGGATTGCGAAGTTGTAACCCAGTCAAAGTAGCTCAAAAAATAGGGGTAAGCTTACAATAATTCGCATAAAGCTGAAAATTGGTATGAATGTTATTATTATAAATGAAATGTGAAAAGTCCCCATCGATCCCACATCTGCAAAAAAATTTATTCAAGGTCAAAGTTCGCAAATATGGGTTTTTTGAATTTTTCAGCCAAACGGTAAGTTTTATCATAGAAATAGGTCCAATAAAGAACAATTTTTATAGATACTTGCAAGATCTACAAATTTTGTCAACCTATTTTTATGATAAAACTTACCGTTTGGCTGAAAAATGCAAAAAACCCATATTTGCGAACTTTGACCTTGAATAATTTTTTTTCCAAATATGGGGTCGATGGGAACTTTTCACATCTCATTTATAATGGTGTTCCCAACATTCCTACAAATTTTCAGCTTTATGCGAATTATTGTAACCTTGAATGTCTATTTTCACCGGGCTATTGGGCGATAAATCACAAATTAGGCGTTATTTTTAAGTACCATATTGATGAAAAAATGTAAAGCTGTGGTAATAGCAAGTTTTTAAAAAGTCCATGTGCTATTTAATAATGTACATATTGCCATGAATGAATATATATTTACTATTTACTTAAATGCCATTTGTCTAATAACTGTGACTTGAGAATCTTGAGATAGTTAGCGTGTTGGTGGTTATTTCTCTTCTTTAATTTCCTATCCCATTAAAATTAAAGTTTAATTAATAACAATAACGAAAGTTGTTGAAGTTTCACATTTTGCGTGTGTTACGTGATGATTAAATTTTATTAAACAAGATAATTGTGGACATAACCAAGGAGGTATCTGTGTTTCTCTTTTGGTCGGATTAGCCGGCCGACCAGCTGGCACCTCAAGGCCTACTCCAAGCAAAAATCCTACCTACGTCCATGGTGATTGCACTATAGCTTAACTGCTGCATATTTTTCCCTGTAACGTCGAAATTTCTGGAAAGTAATATGTACCCCTTGAAATATCGCTTCCCACACAGTTAAATGTACATCAAAAAGTCGGTCTACATCTCAAATAACGTGACCCACTTTCAAATGATACTGCGGGAAAATATAACGTTCCCTGAATCCTCAAACCGAGTCTGGTATGTTCCATCTAATATCTTATGCAGCTTAGTGGCCGTAGTTTATAACTTTTATGCCGGACCCGAAGACGTTTCATCTAATTTATTGATACGTACGGCTGGGGTGACGTGAATTGCGAAAATTTAAGCCTTCAGGAGATATGGGGGATCGTAAACATGAAGCTGGCCTTTAGAATGAAAATTTGATACTTCCGAATGGTTCAAGTAATATTTAAAATGAATGATTTTCACGATCTATGTTCTTGCTTTTATACAAGCCATGTCGTGGTGGATTGGTGCAATTTTTCACGATGCATCCAATCAGCGATCGCATTATCTTGAGCGTAGACGTAACGGTTTGTCATTGTTCACTGTAAACGAAGATTTAGGGAAGCCGTGCAGTGTTGGTTGCGTAATCACTGCGGTCACGTGACTTCTAAATATTTATGAAAGTTCTGTACGCAATTACACAGGGACAGGGTGCCAAACTGGGTCATATTTCAAAGCTATTGTTCAACTTAAAGGCATTAACACTTTCGGAAAAATACCTAATATTGCCAAATTCCTGAAACTAGATAAATCAGAAACGTATACTAGTCATTCATTCTGCAGATCAGCTGGTACTTTCTTAGCAGATTTTGGTGCAGATATTACTTTAAAGCGTTTTGGAGGTTTCAAAAAGCGACAAAGTAGCTGAAGTATGTGTGGATGATTGTCCTCAATAATAAGTCACGATTGGGAAGAACATTTTGAACAACAATACTGAAACAACCTCTATTACTGCTCGTTTTATGGTTCCTAGTTTCTGCTGACGCTACCTCTTCTATTGCTTGTTCTACGCTTTTAGTAGTATATACTAATAGAATGATGTATCACAAAGAAAACGAGCCCTCTTGTGAGTCTTGTGTTAGTTTTGGCAAAGGAATTTGGATTACACTACTATTTAGGCAACCCACAACAAATTGTCATAGTTGAAATTGTACACGACCGAATCTGACCCTTGTGTACTATTTACATAGATACTACAAAAATGAATAATCTCAAATTAATTTATTTTTACATGAATTTGGAAGTATTAAGATGAACAACCAACACGTATTTCGTAAAATAGATACACTAATGCGCTTAAAACTTTAACATTAGCCGTGTTATTCCTAATGCGCATGCTTGGAAAGAATAGCCTCATATGCAGGTGATATGTTATCGCTGTCATCATATTTTATTTAATCTTGGCATTTTCTAGTTCTACTAAGAATTGTTTTTCGTGGTGTTGTAGTGTGTTAGTGTGTTTATCAAGTGTTTTTTTCCTTCTAGTGGTTTATTATAGATTATAGACGTGCTCTTAACCATAACCAAAGAACTTAACTTAGCTTAAATGATATGCTCTTAGGAGGCTACTTAGCTTACATAAAATTATCTTTAATGCGTATGCTCAGTAACATTGATTAACTTATTACTTGCTATAAAAGTCAATATTGTTCTATAAATTTAAATATAAATTCTATAATTTGTCACTTGGGGTTTGAAACTGCTTAAATATTTCTAATATTACCAGAATATCGCAATATTTAAGGTCACGACAAAGAAGCAATTTTTTTGACACTTATGTCCAAAGTGCATATTATGGTCAAAAATCGATCTAGTAAAAATATTGAGAAATTGTTCATGGCAATGTGCACTATGGAGTTGCCTATTATTTAGCGCTTTTGACGTCACTACTAAAATTAATAAGTCAACATCTTATGGCAGTTTTTTTAAAAATAAATATTTGCGATTTAGACCAACTAAGTTTGCAAAAAAATTTACTTAAACTAGAATTGAAATCCATTTTTCTCAAGAACTTCATTTTAGCGAATACAAAATATAGTAAAAAATTAAATAAAAAGATTCTTATAATGTTCGTAAAGATTGTACTGTTGACTTAAATCGATAAATTTTGGGCCGACTTGTTTCGATCTCAAGTCAAGTGAAAATAAATAGCCTCTAACATGATATTTGAGAACTGATTGATGAAAAACTGCCCACTGGAAAATTGCCTTCAATTTTCCTGAAACTTTCACTTAATTAATGATGGATAAGGGGACAGCTGATTTTTTTCCTGAAAACTAATTTAAAAATGGTAATGAAACAGTCCCTCCAAGGTAAGTTCTTAAGATGAGTCATATGTTGTGAAAATAATTGGAAAACTCACATTAAATTGATGGAAGCAGTTTGGAAGCTCACAGTTTTCCACTGAGAAAGGAGAGAAGGGCGACAATATTTTTTAGCTTTTAAAAAAGTTCTGGAAATGAAATAATGATTCATTTATCGAGTTTTGTTGTTTCTCAAAAGTTTATCATTTTTCAGATCGACTAATGAACCATTATGTATGAAAGCCAATACTTATATTAAATATATTTAAATAAAATTCAACATGTAAACACTCAATTTTATATGTATAATCTTTTACTGGTCCAGGATAGTAAAAGTCGGATAATGTCAGAACGAATATGCTAATTTATGGACCAAAATGGGGTATTTCCCAATGTTTTTCACTACAACAGAAAATGAAAATAGGTTACAAAATATAGTACCTGATTTTTTTTATTTGAGCTCTTTTAAGTTCTAAAAAATATATACGTTGTAAGGTTATTAAGTGAAAATATAAAATCTAGCACCAGTGTAGTTTTAAAATATTTTTATTTGGAGTGTTTTGAGATCATTCAAATTTTGTAGTATTCACATGATAATATTTTCTGTATTTTGGATAATAAATCCAATAAATATTACATAATTTGTAGATTTGTTGATCATAAATAATAATATAAAGTTATAATACATCAATATATATTTATTACTTATGTTTGTAGAAGACAATGTTGAAAAAATAAAATTCTTTAATTTTACACAATTTAAATTTACTGCTTGATTTATTTCTACATGTCAACAATAGATGGCAAAACATGGTTTGTTGATTGTACAAGGCATTTG